CAGCAAGGTAGGAATAGAAGGATCATACCTAAACATAATAAAAGCCATATATGACAAACCCACAGCCAATATCATACTCAATGGACAAAAACTAAAACCATTTCCCCTAAGAAGAGGAACAAGACAGGGATGCCCACTCTTACCACTCCTGTTTGACATAGTACTGGAAGTACTAGCCATTGAGATCAGACAAGAAGAAATAAAAGGCATTCAAATTGGAAAAGAAGAAGTAAAACTGTCCTTCTTCGCAGGTGACATGATACTGTACATAGAAAACCCTAAAGACTCCATCAAAAAATTATTAGACTTAATAAATGTATTCAGCAATGTAGCAGGATAAAAAATTAATGCCAAGAAATCTAAGGCATTTCTTTACACCAATAGAGAACTTACAGAAAGAGAAACTAAAAAAGCAATCCCATTTACCATCGCCCCAAAAAAATATTAAGATACCTAGGAATAAACTTAACTAAGGAGGTAAAAGACATATATGCGAAAAATTACAGGACACTGAAAAAAGAGATAGAGGAAGACATAAACAGATGGAAGAACATACCGTGTTCATGGATTGCTAGAATCAACATCATCAAAATGTCCATACTACCCAAAGCAATCTATAGATTCAATGCAATCCCCATTAAAATACCAACAGCATATTTTACAGACCTAAAAAGAACGTTCCAAAAATTCATCTGGAATAAAAAAAGACCTCGAATAGTGGCAGAAATCCTGAGAAAGAAGAACAAAGTTGGTGGGATCTCAATACCAGATAATAACCTGTATTACAAATCCACTGTTCTTAAAACAGCCAGTACTGGCACAAGAACAGACATATAGATCAATGGAATAGAATAGAGAACCCAGAAATCAACCCAAACCACTATGCCCAATTAATATTCGACAAAGGAGGCAAGAGCATATAATGGAGTCAAGACAGTCTCTTCAATAAATGGTGTTGGGAAAATTGGACAGACACATGCAAAAAAGATGAAACTAGACCACCAACTTAAACTATACACACAAAAAGCTCAAAATACATAAAGGACTTAAACATAAGATGGGAAACCATAAAAATACCAGAGGAATCAACAGGCAGCAAAATCTCAGACATAAGCTGAAGGAATTTCTTCACTGATACTGCTCCTAGGGCAATGGAAACGAAAGAGGAAATAAGCAAATGGGACTACATCAAAATAAAAAGCTTTTGCACAGCAAAGAAAACCATCACAAAACCACATTAAAGCCCACTGCATGAGAGAACATATTTGCAAATGTTATCACCAATAAGGGTTTAATCTCCAACATTTACAGGACTCATACAACTTAACAAAAGGAAGATAAACAATCCAATAAAAAATGGGCAACGGACCTAAATAGATACTTTTTGAAAGAAGACAGAAGGAAGACCAAGAGATATGTGAAAACATGCTCAAAGTCACTAATTACATGAGAGATGCAAATCAAAACGACAATGCGGTATCATCTCATACCTGTCAGACTGGCTATCATCAACAAATCAACAAACCACAAGTGCTGGAGAGGATGTGGAGAAAAAGGAACACTCGTGCACTGCTGGTGGGAATGCAGACTGGTGCAGCACTGTGGAGAACTGTATGGAGTTTCCTCAAAAAACTAAAAATGGAACTCCCATTTGACCCAATAATCCCACTTCTAGGAATATATCCCATGAAGCTAGAAACACCAATCAGAAAGGATATATGCACCCCTATGTTCATAGCAGCACAATTCACCATACTAAGATTTGGAAACAGCCTAAGTGCCCATCAACAGATGAATGGATTAAAAACTGGTACATCTACACAATGGAATACTATGCTGCGGTAAAAAAGGAATTCTTACCATTTCCAACAGCATGGATGGAACTGGAGAGCATTATGCTAAGTGAAAGAAGCCAGTCAGAGAAAGATAAATACCACATGAACTCAACTCATTTATGGAATATAATGAACATAAACTGATGAACAAAAATAGATGCAGACACAGAGAAGCAGAGATCAGACTGTCAAACCTCAGAGGGAAAGTAGGGGAGGTGGGGGTAAGGGGGAGAGATCAACCAAAGGACTTGTATGCATGCATATAAGCCCAACCAATGGACACTGACAACAGGGGGGTGAGAGCATGAGTGTGTGTGTGTGTGTGTGTGTGCGTGCGTGTGTGGGGTTGGGGATTAATGGGGGGATGAGGACACATATGTAATACCTTAAGCAATAAAGAAATTAAAGATTAAAAAAAGAAAAGAGTACTGTATTAGGAGTCTGTTAGTGAAGAGGGCTGGGTCATTTGTCTGTTTTGATCCTACAATCCTATAAATGACCCTATAATAAATTCATTATATTCTATGGAGTTTCCATTTCCTGGTACCAAAATATGCGTATTAGTTTTCTGTGGCTGCCATAACAAATCACCGCAATTTTAGTAGTTAAATCTACAAACTCTAGTATATTTTTTAAAAATTATAGTATATATTTTAAGTGATATATATTTATAATATTAAATTTGACATAGTTTTAAATGGAAAAGCTAAAATTAAAAAAACAGAAAAATCGTCCGAAAAACAATTTGCCACTTCTTTGAATTTTTGCAGGGACACTTCAAGTAGGATAACTTTAAAAATATATATTTTTATTGGTTGTAGAGAGGAAGGCAGAGGGAGAAGAAACATCAATGATGAGAGAGAATCATCATTGATTGGCTGCTTCCTGCACGCCCCTCACTGTGGATGGAGCCTGCAACCCCAGCATGTGCTCCTGACCAGAATCAAACCTAGCACACTTCAGTCTGCAGGCCGACGCTCTATCCACTGAGCTAACATTTTCTTTAGAAACCCCTTCAGCCAAATATCCGATTTCTTCACTTACAACCAGCTAGAGCTAGGATAACTCTTTATGGTCAAACTTTTGCAGAATGTCTTTTCATTGCTCCTCTCCCCTTCAGCCAACTGAGATTATGTATGTATATTTCAGATTTGCATGAGGATAGTTTAATATAGAATTTAGGAAATAATGGAAATATAAAATGTAAAAATAAGTTTAGGATATTTACTATCTGCCCTAGGATGTGACTGGCTTCAGTTTTAAACATTTTTTATTCGAATGAATATATTAGCAATGTGTTTCTTCTAATAATAGCCCATCTCTTTCCTTCCTGAAAGTGCTATATATTTTGGTGGGTATAGCAACTATGATAGGAGAGTAAAAATTAAAATCTTGGGAAATAGCCAAGATATGGAGAGATAAATATGCTATGTAACAGCATAAATATGGAGAGATACCCAATGATAACTATACAAATAATTTTATAACTTCCTATATTAACAGTTCTCTTAGGTAAGAAAAAAGCCTAATCATCTGTCAGTCTATAACTGTACCTTAAGTTGAGTCATTTAAAAACTGTCCATTAGTACACCATACTTTCTAGTACCTCATACACAAGACCTACAAAACATGAATATAATGTCCTACTTATAAATATAAAGTAGCAAAAACAAGGAAGAGTAGACTGTCCAAGAAAATGTGACTCACACATTTCCAATACCTTTCATGGGTTGAGGCTAGAACAAACAGATGCAATTAGATCATGCCTCCCACTTACTACATACCCAGAAAACAGAGGAAGGCTTGCGCCCCTGGTCATGAATACAATTCTTTTGTTAGTTACCATTGATAGTACCATTCACCTACAAATAGATTTATTTAAATGAATAATTCCTAGGTTTTCATAGTTCTGAATATAGGACCTGTAATCTTAACTACTTGTAGTTATTTTATATGTTCATCTTGTCTGTACTCTTTTTTTTAAAAAAATATATTTTATTGATTTTTTACAGAGAGGAAGGGAGAGAGATAGAAGTTAGAAACATCGATGAGAGAGAAACATCGATCAGCCGCCTCCTGCACATCTCCTACTGGGGATGTGCCCGCAACCCAGGTACATGCCCTTGACCAGAATCGAACCTGGGACCTTTCAGTCCGCAGGCCAACGCTCTATCCACTGAGCCAAACCGGTTTCAGCTTGTCTGTACTCTTTTTTTTTTTTTTTGATTAACCAGTTTATTTTTATTTTTATTTTTTTATTAAATCTTTATTGTTCAGATTATTACATTTGTTCCTCTTTTTAAGCTATCAACCATGTTCCTGCTTACTTAGATCTGGTTTACAGTTCTACCCATTTGAGAAAAAAAACCTCATGGTTATTTTAATTTCTACAAAATTTTATTACACACAATAATTGTATGTAGTAAATATAGGTTAAAATTAACCTCCTCAAGAAGGGCATTTAGTAACACAATTCAAGTTGCTGCTGAGCTTACTGTTTTCACAGAGATGTACAGATACTACTGTCTTAGCAGGTTTCGAATTTTCAAACATCAAAACCTCTTCAGTGAGTTTTCATTTGGAATTTCCAGAGACCAACATGTTCTGCAAGATAAATCAAGCTATACAAAGCTTATTTTTTATAGGCATATGATATTATATATAGCCTTACTTATACATATTTCCTGTAACTGTGTCTACTATAACAACTACACTCCCAAATTTTACTCACCTATGTTCCTTCTTAACCTCCCTGTCTCTAGAATGAACTCTTTGATGTTGAATTAGGTGTAAACTATGCCTAAAATTAACCCTTTAATAATGACAACTATAGGATCCCCTCCAATAGCATTGTGTAAGGATTCAGCCACAACTAAAGATCTTTCTACATTAATGACATTCATATATTCATGATTAACAACATTCTCACAAGTATGATATCATAAGGATTTGATTTAATAGGAATTCTCCAGTTGAATGATTACTAAAGACCTTTCTCCACATTGATTACAATCAGAGCTGTTACTTTCCAAAGCTGAGAAAGGTCTGAGATGTTTGGCAGTATCTATCATAAACTGAAAAAGCTTACATATCCCTTTGGATGGAGTAATTCCAGTCTTAATGTAAAATCAACAGAAATACATACACACATGCACAAAGAAATATACAAGAATACTTATAGTAGTAACTTTATTATAACACAAAATTATAAAAAATACAAATAACCATCAAGAGGATAAACAGCAGGATATTTTAAAAGTGGAATACTATACAAAATAAATATGAAAACACTACTGCCACACAATGTATGAATCTTCAGAATGTTGAGTGAAAAAAGACACAAAAGAATTCATGATGTGTGATAAAGATATGTAAAGACATGCAAAAACTACTTCATGCTGTTATAAGCCAGGGAAGTGATAATCTTTGGGGAAGTAATAACTATGTGTTTTTTTTTTACCAAATGCAATGAGAAATATAGTTCATATTTCATTTCTGTTATGAAGACTAATGCTTTTGGCCATTTAAAAATCTTGCCTCTCCCTGTATAAGTTTTTAAAAAGTAAATTGAGTCATCAGAACTTGAAAACAAAAATTAGATTCACTGCTGATAGAGTTCAGTAACAATGATCATACCAATTTTTATGCTAGTAAGCAGTAAAAAGTTATGCTGTATGGTACTTTAAATTAATAATATCTGTGATTAAAATGACCTTATTAGCATGCTTTTAAAAACTAAAGTTTTACAATAACTTGGGAAGGAACGCTTCCCAAAGAAATCACATTTTATTGCATGTCCATTTTTTCTCCCTTGTGAGTTCTCTGATGGACAATGAGGTTTCTCTTATAACTAAAGGACTTACCACACTCATTACAAATATAGGGTTTCTCCCCTGTGTGAGTTCTCTGATGTACAATTAGATTTGTCTTCTGGCGGAAGCACTTTTCACATTCATTGCACTTGTATGGTTTCTCTCCTGTATGAGTTCTTTGATGATGAATGAGATAGGACTTCCTGCTAAAGGCTTTCCCACACTGAGAACATTCATAGGATTTCTGACCTGTATGTATTTTGTGATGTACAGTGAGGGTTGCTTTCTGGCGAAAGGACTTCCCACATTCATTACAAATATAGGGTTTTTCCCCTGTATGGATTCTCTGGTGTAGATTGAGATTTGTCTTCTGACTAAAGGATTTTCCACATTCATTACATTCATATGGTTTCTCTCCCGTGTGAGTTCTGTGATGATCAATGAGGTATGATTTCATTCTAAAGGCCTTCCCACAGTGAGGGCATTCATAAGATTTTTCCCCAGTATGTGTTCTCTGATGTGATACAAGGGTTGTCTTCTGGCGGAAGGACTTTCCACATTCATTACAAATATAGGGTTTCTCCTTATTATGAGTTTTCTCATGAAGAGCAAGAGTTGTCTTCTGGGAAAAGGATTTCCCACATTTATTACAAATATACGGCTTTTCCCCTGTATGAGTTCTCTGATGTACAGTAAGGTTTGCCTTCTGGTGAAAGGACTTCCCACATTCTACACAAATATAAGGCTTCTCTCCTGTATGAATTCTCTGATGTAGAGAGAGTGTTGTCTTCTGGCGGAAAGACTTCCCACAGTCATTACACTCATATGGTTTCTCTCCTGTATGAGTTCTCTGATGACGGATGAGATGTGACTTCAATCTGAAGGCATTCCTACACTGTAGACATTCATATGATTTCTCCCCTGTATGTGTTCTCTGATGATCAGTGAGGGCTGTCTTTAGACGAAAGGACTTACCACATTCATTACAAACAAAGGGTTTCTCTCCTGTGTGTGTTCTCTGATGATCAGTGAGATATGACTTCCTTCTAAATGAACTTCCACACTCATGACATTGATAGGGTTTTTCCTCTGTGTGAATTCCCTGATGCAGAATTAATACTGACTTCCTGCAGAAGGACTTTCCACATTCAGTGCAAATATGTTTTTTTTCAATATTGGTTGCTCTTCTCCTTTTATTATATTCAGATGTGTTTTCTTTTATGTATGTTCTCTGATATGTAAGTAAGCTTCCTTTTTTAAGCAATAATTTCTCGCAGTCATTATATCCAAATGACTGTGCTGGAGTTTCCATCTTACGATACTGCATCCGAACTTCATTATGACTGATAGCCCTACCATTTTGATTATGGGATTTGACTCCATAGTGAGCTGTCTCTGATTTAGCACTAAAGAGTGACTTCTCATATCCATCATACTCACTATGCCTCTTTCTTGCAGGACTTATATTATTGATGATTAATTCTGATACATTTTTAAAAATCTTTCCATAATGGTTATATTCAGGAATTAGATTTTTTGAATTTATAGGGTTTTTGCTTAAAGTAAGTGTGTTGTCACACACATTATTGTTCTCCTTAATCAGTTTTTTGTGACCGATGAATACAACTGATCTAGAATACTTATGTTGGTGTTCCTTGAATTTCACTAAAAAGTCTTCAGGTTTCCAGTTTTTTTCTAGAAAAGAATATAATTAATAATAACTTGTGAATGTTCACACATTTGCTATAAAAGGAATTGAACTAGGGTCTATTATGTGAGGCAAAAGAAGACATTAGACAAATTACTCACTGCATGGGACACAAAAGCTAAATGAAACATCTGCTTCAGTGTGGAAAAGAATAAAAAAATAAGCAGTGAATGCTAATAACTTTTCCACTTTGCACCAGAACATCATACATAAAGTTGACCGAACATAAGAAGCAGTGAAGAGAAGACAAAAATGGTGGAAGAGGATTGATATTTTGATAGGTAGATTCATAGGCAATAAAGTGAAACTATCAAGGGCATTAAGCTTTAAGTAGGATTGACAAGATTAGTAGAAAAGCTTATTCAGGGAAAATATTAGAGAAAGGATTACTTTGGGAGGACACAGATCAGAGCCTATACTTTTATTTATCACTTTTGGATTGCAAGGTAAAACACTTCCAGTTGTTCTACCACCCCTGTCCTTGTAGCTATCAATAGTTAATTAATGATTCTAAGCATCAATTAATTTCCTAGTGTTTAGAAAAACTATCCTATAGTCTAGGTCTAATTCTCCATATAGCTGGGAATCATTTTCTCTTCTGAAAAAAAAAAAAAACAAAACTAAGAGAACACAACAGGAAATTTAAAACTGACTAGGGTTATACTCACTGGTGTATTCAGATTGCTGTTACTACCAATTCTTTCAGAATTGTTAAAAAAAAACCAACTCTCATGACCATCAATTATAACTATTCCTCTTTTTAATTGCTGACTTATTTTTTCAGGTTTAAAGAAAGACTGTTCAATTTCCCCAATTTACAGTAACATTCCCAACTCCAGATGAGATTGTTCATTCTGGTTCTAGATTGTTCTTTAACTTTCACCTTCATTTCTCTTATAAGTTTAGAGCTATATTTGACTTCTGTTACTTTGCAATCATCCAAATCTAGTGGGGCAATGCTAAACCTAGGCTCACAAATATTTTTCTGCCTTGAGTCCATTACCATCAATACTAACATACAAGGAATTTTTTCTGTAAACAAAACTTTAAACCCCTTAGAATCACTCTTCATATTCAAGCAAGTTTTAAGGGTTGTTCCTATATCTGACAAATCTCAGCCATAAAAAGTTTACATTGATTTTATGTGTCATAGGTAATGTTTGGTAGAAACAAAACATTTTATTCAGAATGTATACTGCCATGGCCTAAAAAGGTATATCCTAAAAGGAACTTATAAGTACATGCTTTCTGAATGAGGGAAACAAGATATCTCCCCTGTATAGCTCCACAAAAAGTTCATGAAGCAAGTACTAAATACCTACAGCAAAGACTGAAACAGGGATCTTATCTTTGAGGGAAAGGATTCTTAAGCATAAACCATGTACAATCAGATATTACACTATCTAATCATTTCCAACTACTATATATGTTATAATTCACAAGTAGCAAGGGAATTAACAGAAAAACACACAACAGTGGATATGATGAGTAGTCAAGAAATAATTCGTGGAGAAGAAATCTCATGACTGAACCATAAGATACACAGTTTGTGAAAGTGAGAATACAACACAATGAAAAACACAGATATGACAAATCCTACATTGTTGGAGAAAAGTTAGTAGCCTGGATTAAGTGGAAATTAGGAAGAGTTTCCAAGAGAGAATTGAAAAGACCAGATTAAGACTTATTATGTTAGTCCTTGAATAATTAAGCATTTCAATTTCATATAAAAAACAAATAATAAGTAAGTGATAGATATCTTGTCACCAACTTCATAACCATTTAAACGTTTATATTCCACTAGTTTCATCTGTTTTAGAGTCAGAAACTCACTTAAGCAGGTCTGACCTGTCAGTGATGTCCATGGCTCTTCTCCTCGTTCCAACTTCAGGATCACATCAGGCTTGGTCATGTGACACCCTGATAAGGAAAGATTTGGATTAAGTTGCTTAAGGTTCAATATGCTTGAAAAAACTAGTAAGGTTTTTTTTAATACTGCATTTCCAATACTGCATATTAAGATACACCTTTGTGTAACAGTAAACTTAACACCTTGTACTGTGCAAGTGAAAGATATAATCATTCTTTCTGTTAAACACAAAGGAATCATCACCTGTTATCCTTGAAATTCAGATCACACATACTTTAGGCACTATGAAAGAAATACTTTAGGCACTATGAAAGAAAATACATGCTATTGAAAGTGTCAGAAAGGTTTTCTTACCCACAGAAATGAGGTGGCAATAGTTTTCCAACATGAGCAGGATCTAGGTGCTGCCATTCCTCCTGTGTGAAGTCCACAGTCACATCCTTGAATGACACTAATCCCTGCAATGGATAGAAACTGTGTTCACAACAAGTTGACTAGATATTAGGCACTAGTTTTGATCCTGTTTCTTTGTGGCATTCATAAGAAAACTTGTAAAGAAAGCCTGTTATTTTTGTGATTTCCATTGTGAGGAAAACAAAATCAAAGTATAAGTACTTGCCACCAAATTTATTTAATAACTCATTTTAAACTATTTACTGTGAAGTCACTTTGTACCCTAAAACTGCATTCATTCTCTGGGATGCCAAGACATACAAAACAGCTCAGCCAGTGTGGCTCAGTGGTTGAGCATTGACCCATGAACCAATAGGACACAGGTTTGATTCCTGGCCAGGGCACATGCCTGGGTTGCGGGCTTTATCCCCAATAGGGGGCATGCAGGAGGCAGCTGATTGGTGATGTTTCTCTCTCACTGATGTTTCTATCTATCTCTTTCCCTTCCTCTCTCTCTAAAAATCAATAAAAACATATTAAAAAGAAGACATACAAAACAATGTCCCTCTTACAAGAAGTTACAGCCTCAAACTTGTAACAAATACTTTCAAGAAAGTATGTGTAAACACAAACCTGCAAGGTATTACAAGTAGTACAACAGAAGTATGTACAAGATGCAGTATGTCATAACAGCAGAACAATTTTCTCAGCATCCAATGAGGAGGTTAATTCCCCCCCCTTCAAGATTACTGTAATGTGCAAGAAGAATATGGTTTTAAAATGCATGGAAGTGAATTTTGGCATGAAGTGATCATTCAATGAATTGGCCAGGAAAACGATATCTCAGATCCTATATAATAAAAGACCGTTCGACCATTTGACCAATCGCTATGACGTGCACTGACCACCTGGGGGCAGATGCTCCAACTGGTAGGTTAGCTTGCTGCTGGGGTCTGGCCGATCAGGATTGGGCGAGACAGGCCGGACACGCTTTGGAACCCTCCTGCAGTCCTTCCCCAGCCAGCCAACCTTCTGAAGTCCCTCCCTGGCTGGCTAGCCCCAATCAGCCCCCCATCGGGACTGGGTGAGACGGCCTCAATTGGGACTGGGCAAGAGGGGCCGGACACACCTTGGAGCCCTCCCGTGGTCCCTCCCCAGCTGGCCAACCTCCTGAGGTCCCTCCCTGGCTGACCGGCCCTGATCGTCTGATCAGGACTGTGTGAGATGGGCCGGACAAGCCCTGGAGCCCTCCTGCGGTCCCCTCCAGCCCCAATCGTGCACTGGTGTGGTCCCTGGGTCTGGCCTGCACCCCTTTGCAATCCGGGACCCCTCGGGGGATTTTGGAGAGCCTTTTTTGGCCCGATCCCCGCAGACCAGGCTGAGGGACCCCACTAGTGCACAAATCTGTGCACCAGGCCTCTAATCCACACTAATAAAAGAGAAACATGGTAATTGGCGTACGACCGCTACCCTTCCCATTGGCTAATCATGGGCAATATGCAAATTAACTGCCAACTAAGATGGCAGTTAACCGCCAACAAAGATGGCGGCTAATTTGCATACTGCCGGCAGGATGGGGCAGTGCCATCGTGCCTGCCCCTCCGCCATCCAGGCCTGCTATCTGTGACCTGGATGGCGGGCGACCCAACCCAGGGCTGGCGGGGCGTGACTGCAGCTGTCCCCTACTGGCCAAGACCCCAACCGGCTCTCCCACCGGCAGACCGGGGCTGGCCTGGTGGCTTCAGCTTCCGCCCGCAGTCACGCCCCCCCAGACCCGCTGCTGCCAGCAGACCAAGGCTGGGGAGGCAGAGGCTCCTACCCGCTTCCCAGCAGACTAGGGCTGGGGAGGCGCTGCTGCATTCGCC